AGCAGCGAGTAGGTGACCTGGGCATTGGAGCCTGAGTCTCTGTCTGTGGCGCTGATGGTGCCTATGAGCAGGGCGGGGCTGTTGTTTTCTGGGACAAAGAGGGTGTAGGAGGATTGGGTGAAGGTGGGGGCGTTGTCGTTGACGTCGGAGACCTGCAGGGTTATGGTGTGCTGGGTTTTGAGCCGAGGTGTCCCCAAATCGGTGACGGAGATGGTGATGTTGTATTGGGCTCGGCTTTCTCTGTCCAGAGAGCGCTCAGTTACTAGGGTGTAGAAATTCTTAAATGTAGGCTTCAAGAGAAAAGGCAAGTCCTCGTGAATGGAGCAGATCATCTTCCCATTGTCTCCCGAGTCTTGGTCTCTTATGCTGAATACAGCGACCACCATCTCAGGGGAAGAGTTTTCGGGAACAGGACTGATAAGCGACGTCATGGCTATTTCTGGTGCATTATCATTCACATCGACAACCTGAACTGCAATGATTGATTTTCCACAAAGACTGCCACCGTCAATGGCCTGAATATTTACTGTATAGGACTGAATCACCTCAAAATCTAGTAGCGATTTCAAACGGACTTCCCCAGAAATTGGATGTACTTCAAAAGTATTCTGTATATCTCTAGAGGTATGGGAAAAGGAATAAGATAGTTCTCCATATATTCCTGCATCCAAGTCTGTAGCAGACACCTTGATTACCAACGAGTCCACAGGACTGCTCTCTGGTACCTGAACTTCATAGAGTGGTCTCTCAAACTCAGGAGCATTATCATTGATATCCACTACCACCACTTGAATCAGTGCAGTCCCAGACCTGGAAGGGGACCCACCATCTAAGGCTGTTAGAGTTATATTAAACTCAGACTCCTTTTCTCGATCCAGAGATTGTTCCAGTACCAGCTCTGGGTATTTTCTGTCCTTACCACTGTCATGTAACTTAACATAGAAATGAGCATTGGGACTTATTGTATAGTTTTGGACAGTATTCATTCCTACATCGAAGTCCTGTGCCCTATCCATTTGGAAGGACGTGCCTGGAGAAGTACCTTCTGAGATTTTTAGGAGCATATGTTTCTCTAGGAACGTGGGAATATGATCATTTATATCTTGGACAGAAAGCTCAGCCTGAAAAAATTGCAAAGGATTTTCCAGTAACACCTGGAAGTGCAATATACAAGGTTCAGTGGCTCCACAAAGGGCCTCCCGGTCCAATTGTTCATTTAAGAGGAGGTTGCCTGTCTGCAGATCCAATTGCAAGTAGGATTTATAGTCATCAAAGATGACTCTGGCCCCTCGTGCAGCTAGGTCTTCCACACCTACATGGGAACCCATATCGTTTATCACGTTGCCTATACAGAAGCCGATCTCTGCTTCCTCTGCCACAGAATAGTCCCAGGTCTCTGAATACACCAAAGTCCCACCCAGGAAAACAAAGAGAAGCAGCACTTGCCTTACCAGCTGAGCGGTCCCTTCTTCTGGCTCCATGACTCTCCTTATGCAAAAGTGTCTGGAACCTTTACCTCAATCTCTAGCAGCTCTGCCAGCGGCTCCTCTCACCTGAGCCTTTGTGTTATCTATCGATTTGTAATTCTGTCTGGAGCTGTCCTTTCTGTTGAAAGCTTCACTGTTTTGTTTTCTCCAGCGCTCTTAGCTCACTGGTTAAGGGAAACGGAAGCAACTGCAGTTACATTAATTTCTCCATCTTATCCTGCAGCGCCACCATGCGATTCTGCAGATTGTAGGTTTTCAACAAAGAAGTTTGAGACAAAATATATCTTAGGTGTTTGTTGAATAACTTAAATTATATTTTCTTCTGTGTTGCTGTTTTCCTTTATGTGTTGCAGTCTTTGTGATATATGATGCTACTGTTATTTAGCTATTAACACAATGAACCACAATGTGCTAGAGCTGCAGTGCATATATTTAAGGTACAGTCCCTGCTTCAAAAAAGTTATGGTCTCTTCCTAAAGACAATATGTGAAAGAACCAAAGATATTTAAGAGGACTTTTGTGTATAATGGACTAGTAAGCTAGAGATTCTCAGGAAAATTAGAAATGGGAACCTAGAGATCTTCTCTATTGAGCATCAAATACTCTTATAAAAGACAGTAAGAATAAAGGTATGCACTTGAACCCTGAACTCGCAAATATTTATTTTTAGGAGATTGGAAAATTCAGGCTAAGTAAATAATACCATTTATTCAGTATTAGTTCATAGGAGACTTATCTGATAGTAGCTAAAAGTAAATACTCAGTAGTGAATAATTTCAAGATTCCAACAACATAAAAAGTTGAACAAATAAGACTTCAGTTTAGTTGTAAAACTAAATCCTTTTGCAGCCCCAGGATTTCCAGAGACACAATACTAAATGCTTTTGTTCTTGTAATTATCCAGCAAGTATTTGTTATGCATATAACTTGTGCTATGCATGGCATTAAGTGTTAGGGGTAAAACCATAACCATACAGACACAGTTTCTGCCATGTAATAGACAGAAAAATGGGCACAGTTAAATAGAGCACAATGCTTGCCATGGAAGAAAAAATTACTGGTACTATTACAGCAGAGATGAGGTGTACCTGCCTCAAATTTGGAAGTACAAAATAACTTTTAATGGTGAAAGTATATTCTAAATTATACATTAAATGAGTATAAGTAATATAATAATGTGAAAATTTCTATGCAAACTGAAACATGCTGTACAAATCCAAAATAAAAAAGTATTTTTTTTTCTTAAAACGCTTTTTTTGGACAGTTTCAAAGCTGATTAATAGGACAGTTTTGATAATCAATACAGTGTGCATTGTTATCTTCTGAGTGGTTATCCATAGTGCAAGAAGCAGACAGGATATCCTGTCCAAACACTATTAGTACATCTCTTTCTTCTCATTGAATTAAGCGAAAGTAGCTGTATATCTATCCTAACTATTTTGTATATATAAATACAAAATGATCTTTCCTTTACATTCCTTTTGTTTAGTCCTGTCAGAGGTGGATATTCTATTGTCATCTAAATACTATAGGTGTTTGAACTCAGCTAAGCAATCCAACACTGTCTAGCAGTCTATAATATTAGTGCATTATCCTCAGAAGTTATTGACTTGAGCCTTTTACAGCTCATCATATTAATATGGCTTTACTTTACTTTATTTTTTATGGCTTTACTTTATATACTTCATTTTTATACTTTTCTGCTGGATGGTTAGACCAAGATAAAGCAAGACCTATATAACAAGAAATGTAACTTTTGTATCTGATAAGGTCAGTCAAGCACCCTCAGGATTTATCCTGTAGCCCTGTACCGCACTTTGTAGATCCTTTGTCAGTGTCAGCCATGAGGATGAGTCACGGCCATTGCTGGACCAATTTGCTCTCTGTGAAAGCCTGAACGAATGTTTTTTCTCTCCATGTGACTCTCTCCAGGCACACTATACATCATCGATCACATTCCTCTGTGGCTCCATAATCTCCTTGATCAGAAAATTTGGAGCACAACTGAGTTACATGATGCTACAGTACAGGTTCTCTTATGTCCTGAGTCTTCACTGACCTTGAAAGGCTATGGCCAAAATGTTGGCTGACCTTGTAGCCCTTCCTTTTCTTCAATTTTGATCTGCTAACTTAGGTTGTTAACCCTCCAGAAGAGAAGCTTATTATTAACCTGCAATATATGCAGTTTGGCTTACCCTGTCTGTCTAAATATCAAACATCTTTGGCATATCATGGAACAGATATTTCCCATCAAATATTGATACGTTGGACTTTAAGTTCTTACAGAATATGAAGGAAAAATAATTTTTAAAAAGTAGAAATAAATATTTACATATTTTTACAAAGAAATTTAGAAATCTAACCACATACAGAATTGTAACAGGACAGACCTGTGACATTTTTTTTCTTATTCTTGTGTCTTTTTTCATTTATTACCCTTAAAAAAACCTTTACTTGAGAGACATTATGGCAATAAATGGTATGTCATGACAAGAAGTACATATTTAGAAGACCAGGATGGCAGACACTCCAACTGTGACCCCTCTATTACACATCACCATCCTCAGTGCAGTCACCTGGCTCACAGGTACCAGCATATACAGTTAGTCAGGGTGAGAATCTCACCAGCCAACTGCTAGTTTAAGAGAAGTAGTTTGAAAGAACTAAAATTAGTTCTATTTGACTGGGACACTCAACAAGAGGGGCAGAAATGGTGAAAGTTGAAATTAGATATGCAAATATTTTGTGAGCTATGGTAAGTCCTTTGGTCTTTGCATTAATGGAAGTACAAAATTATTAAAAGGTCATAACAAAGGGCTGGCCAAATAGTTCAGCAGATTAAAGCACCTGCAAGCAGGCACAGGGGCCAAGAGTTCTATTCCTGGGTTTGCCATGCTGGCTCCACCCTGTGCGTGCTGAGACAGCAATTGAGACTGGGCATGGTGGAGTACGCCCTGAAAGTTTATTTCTGTGTCCTGTTTTTATTCTGCTTTTCACTCATGGTGGCATGTTTCCTTATGTGTGTAGTCATCTTTAAATGCACTCAAGTGAAGAACATACAAATTTGAATCTATAGGGTGAATAATTTGAACTTTAGGGTGAATAAAATTCCTGTCATAGAAAATATGCATTTGACTCTGTTGGGATGTGAAAGAACTACAACCACAAATCAGATTTAAGGCTAAAACTAAGCTCAAGGATAAAATTTCATACAAAGACTCATCTATACATTTCATATGTTGTAGATATATCGAGTAGGAATCCATGCTTATTAGTGGGAGAGTATTTTGTGCATTTCTCTTTTGGTAGGATTTTCTATATCCTCTTATTATGTAATCCATTTAATGGAGGTTCAAATTTCCCAGGATTCCAACTGTTTCCTGGAAATACTAGATTTTGTGCTTATCTTTCCTTGGTTCCCTCTTAACTTAACATTGACCTCTTTATATACTAGTGTTTCAAGGTAATCATTTTAGTGAAAGCATGATTTTATAAACATTATTTAATTCTTATTAAAAATTAAGGTCTTAGGGAGACTATTCCACATCAAATTTCCAAATAAACTCTTAGCTTACATAGTGTATGGACAATTGATCTTGAAAGCATAGAAACAATATATATTTAAAATCATTTGACTAATGCTAAATGAACTTTATGATGATGCAATACATCATGTGTACTACTGATGTAAACAACCTGTTGAAAGACTCATCTTCTGTCATTTACACTGGTATTTCTTTCCACTTCTCTCTATAATCTTTTTTGCTCTATGGGCATACACATATCCTTCATATCCCCTACATATGCATATCTTTCTTATATCTATTTTCTCTTTTCTTCCTCTAAAATGTGAATGTATATATCAACTGTATAGTCTACAAATTTAAAATGTGTGTTGTATGGATATATCTATTTCACTAAGCTCTAAATTTTAGTCTTTTAAAAAAAACATTTGGGTTGTACCTATGTGGTTCTGTGTAGTACATCTAGTTTGCTCCTTTTGATCTCTGCATAATAATCTTTCACAGGCATTTTCCATTTTGTATTATGGATTGTTTTATTGTTATGTATATTTTTTCTCTGCCTTTCCAAGGTGAACATACTTGTACAGATTATTTTACAAGAGGTGTAAGATTTTTCAGAGTATGTACTAAATATGAACAAAAAACTCTAGGCAGACTGTTCACATAATTTCTTTCCTATGCCACTTGATATCTAAAACTTTTACCTGTATTATATGCTGGAAACTGTTGGTTAAGCATTTTTTAAAAAAACATTATTTCAATACTTTTCTGACTTTGTGTTTCCCTCTTCTAAAATATCCTCTCCATTTTTGGAAGTTCTTTCTTACAACACCTTCTAGCGAGTTTTGTTGAGTCATAATTATTGACTAATGAATGGTCAAAATACTATTTCCTCTCAATAAAAATATTGCAGTTATCTTTTCCTTGTTACCTTCTAATTTATATTACCTTTTAATTTTCAGCTAATAGTATCTATCAACTTGAATTTTTGTTGTTTGTAGTTCAATATTATAGTTATCAATAGCTCTACCTATAATGTTCCACTGAATTGTCAACTTATAGATTTGACACATAATGATTTATGACACTGCAGCCTGTTTAAACTGTATAGACCTACTCCTTCCTTGTGGTTATCTCAGTGAGGACACAAACTATCAATGATCACACACCCTCTTTTCCTTTCTGTTTGTGGTGCTAAAAATGGAACCTGGAGCCTCTTGAGTGAATTCTGAGCAACTCCCCCATTTACTTTTGGCAAGGGTAGAGGGATACTTTAAACCCCAGGACCTTGCACCTGATAGGCAAACATTGTAGTACTGAATTATAACCTCACTTCAAAAACAGCTGAAATCTTTATTTCAATTTCAAAAAGAGTTTCTCTCTTGTATTCTTCTGATAGAAGGATATTTTGCTCAGGAAAAGACTCCGAACTATTTTATGTTTTACTTAACTGCATAAAATAACACAAAAGGGCCAGGGAGATAGCTCAGTACAATATGCGCTTGGCTGGCAAGGGCAGGGTCCTGAGTTCAATCCCCAGTACTGCAAAAGCAAACAAACAACTAGTAAAGGTGGTATATTTAAAGAAAACAAAATAGCAACGTCAAAAACACTCTGTTGAAGATCCTCTACCACAAAAGTATCATCAACAAAACAAGGGAAACTTGTTTAAGAAATCTCTTGCACCCAATAGAGTCATTTTAAATTTTTAAAAAATTAACTCTTGAGGGCTGGTGAGATGGCTCAGTGGTCTAAAGCACCTACTTAGAACAAGCTCAGCTAAAGCACAAGGACCACGGTTCAATCCCCAGCACCACATGCCAGCCAGCCCCGCCCCCTGGTGGGCTGAGCTGGCCACACACACACACACACACACACATAAATAAATAAAATTTTTAAAAAAAATTAACTCTTGAAAAACAAGTGTATAAAAGCTCTGTAGTACTGAACATATAGATAGCATATTTTTAGTCTTTTAATGAACAATTTTTTCCAGAGAATACTGCAACTCCTTAGATTTCCACCTAGATTCAAGATTTTTATTTTTATTTATTTATTTATTTATTTTAAGATTTTTATTTTGTTTTATCAGTTTTGATGGTACACAGAAATAAATCACATATTGTGACATTTGTTCTTTATAGTTTAGTTTGCACCTCCAAGTGATTAATACTTTTGTCTTGTATATGAATACCATTATTACAATGAAATAGTATATATATATATATATATATATATATATATATTACTTTTCTATTTTTGACTGGTTCAGGCTGACTTAAGCCCGGGTCTGGTAAAGCATGGGGAACTGGGGATTGAACCATGGTACCCTGTGCCTGAATGGGTTTGCCCCAGCGGGTGCTTAAACAACTGAGCTAACCTGCAAGCCTCCCCAGTGCATATATTTTTAACAAAATGGAGTAAAGACGAAAAGCACCAAAGGGTATGCAGATGAATGTCCATTTTGTATCTGTGTATTCAAAGTGGTTGGGATAGATATATAGTTACATTCTGTTAATGAATAGAATGATTTGTTCTAATGATGTTTTTAAATAGGATATCAGGTTTGCATCTTATCAACCACTAAGAAGAATGTATGCAGTGTGTTAATTATTGAAACTGTCCTACCGATTTGATTTGAAACTGTCTCATTGCTATTTGTTTATCAATAAAACTATGGCAAAAAAATTTTAAAAAATAATAAAAAAAGAAAAGCACCGATTATATTTTCATACCACAATCACTAATAAAAGTTTTAAAGCAACAGTGAGAAGAGCATGAGAAATAACAATGTATGCCTCTATACTAAAAACTAAAATCTACTACAGGTTAGGCAAAAAGTATCCACACTATTTCATATTTAACAAAAGATTTTAAGTTTAAAGGAAATTGCTTTATTGAACAACAAATCAAAAGCCACTTGTAGTGTCTGTTTTTGCCCCATATTTGAATTTGAACACTGAAGATTAAGTGGCTTTAAAAATTTGAACAGAAGAAAAATCAAAGCTATACCTTCAGGTGAAATTTTTCTTCACGATACTCACATGCTATATGTGGGTAACATAGGGATAAATGGCAAAAAAAAACCAGCATC